AATAACATTTATTACTTAATGGAAACACTGCAGTTGTGAAACTGTGTTTTTTCAACATTAACAGAATATCGACAAAGTTTTGCGCACATTTGCAATGGAAATGCAGCTAGTGTTGCAGTTGTGCAATGAAGTAACAATTTTTGCTTTACAAGTTGTTTGGGCAAAAAAAATCCAGCCAGAAATTTTTTTCTTGCAGGTATATTCACCAAGTATTGTGTGATTGGTCAGAACTTTGTGGGTGTGTTTATCCTCTGCTGAGGAGCAGCTGGCTGAGGCTGTTAGAAAACACAGATATTTCAACTAAACTTATAGTCAAAGAACTCGTAAAAATGGATACATTTTCACCTGCGGGAGACACACGGTGCACATTCCTTCTGTTTGCAGTCAGTGCGCACCGCCTGTCGGAAACTGTTGCAGTTTCCTTCAGACAAATTTGTCAACTAGCATTTCTCCTCAGTTAGCTACAGAAATATCAAATCTATGGGGTTATGTTAAAAATGTTAAATGTTAAAAAAGATTTAAATAACATATATTTTATTATTACTATGTATTTTGCCATGTTTTACTTAATATTAAATTTGTTTTTGCTTATAGTGAAGAAGAGGAAGGAAACATGCTGTCTCCACAAGTCTCCGATAACAAGAAAACATTTACTCGATTTGTCCTGAAGCATCTCAGTGATCCAGGTATAAAAAATCAGTAGGTCCTCTGGATGGTTCTTCTTTAGTGGAACGTTTCGTCTCTCCTCCAAGAGACTTCTTCAGTCTGATGAGTTTCAGGTGAACTCAGCCTTATAAGCTCCGCCTCCACATGGTGGACAAACAGGTTAGTCACATGCAAAAGAGGACCATCAGACTAATAATAGACTTGATTAGCTCTATTGTTCATAGAGGGTCATGCGCCCCATCATCTGACTTACTGGTTTGGATGCTGTGGTTCTTTGATGTTGCGTCATGTGTATGCAGTTCTGTAATCTGTTTAAAACAGATTACACTTTAAAACAGATTGTACAGTTCCCTTCATATTGTCATTATTATATTGTTCCCTTCTGATGTTATTATCCTTAGTTTAGTCTCTTCTTTTATCTAATCAACATTGTTTGTGTCCTTTCGGTGATGATTCGTTTCTTTTTTTAATATGGTTATCTCTTTGCATTCAAAATGGACGACAAAGTAGGAATTTCATTGCTCYGGGAAACYTGTTTTCATATGTGCATATGACAATAAACACTTTGAATCTTGAATGTAGTGAATGCAAGCGGGTCTCAAAGTCCCATTGTTTTTGTCTTTTTTTTCCCTCTTTGTGTTGGTTATTGTTATCGTTATTAGGGCCCTATCGATAACCAACACAAAGAGCAGGAAAAAAAAGACAAAAACAAGGGGACTTTGAGCCCCGCCTGCATTCACTATATTCACATAACACGACACCTAAGAACCACAGCATCCAAACCAATAAGTCAGGTGATGGGACACATGACCCTCTATGATAATAGAGCTAATCAAGCCTATTGTTAGTTGATGGCCCTCTTTTGTATGTGACTAACCTGTTTGTCCATGTGGAGGCGGAGCTTATTAGGCTGAGTTCACCTGAAACTCAGACTGAAGAAGTCTCTTGGAGGAGAGACGAAACGTTTCACTAAAGAAGAACCATCCAGAGGACCTGCTGATTTTTTTCTTTTTGATTTACTGGATTTGTTGTTGGTAGCTTTTTTTTTTTTTTGAAAGAGTTGTCAGCAAACTCTCCTCAGTCCAGAGCTTTCTTCAGCTCCTGGGACCAACATAGTAAGCACCATATGTCTGCTCTCTGCTCACGCACACACTGGTGTACTAACCAATCAGTTAAGAAAACAGTGACAAACAAAAGTGTAGAAGTTAAAATTTGCTAATACAGACTGATTTGCAATATCCTGTCATGTTTGAGAAAGATATATTAAATGGACCCTTGTTTGGCTAGCTATTAGCCTAGCCTTGACACAAACATGTCCGCTTCTCCATATTGTGTGTTTTATGACGGATGTCACAGCTGGTAAGGTACTAAACATTGAGAACTATCTGACAGAATATAACATTGACCAGGCTGTACTTTTTAAAAGATGTATTTAGTCCCTGATGGTTGTTGGAGTTCAAACAGTCTGATGGGTATAAACCCTACATCTGCATTGAGTAGGTACAGTACATGATACAGATTTAGTGTAAAAGTGGACTTTAGTTTAACAAAGCTTCAAGCTGAACTCTTGTGACTTAACAGARGGTTTTACCAAAGAAAAAACAACAGAATTAACTTCCTGTTTTCTTCATTTTAAATGACCAATATAAAAATAGTTCTGTACAAAGTGCAATCCCTCTTATTCCTTTAGGCTGTCCTTGTGTTAAAGTGTCTCCACCCGGCTACCAGGCATGTGAAAGTTTTCCTTGAGTGAGGAGCTCCTGGTTCCYCTCATCGTTGCTCCGTCACTCTCCCTTCGAGGCTCCACGACACACCGCCTCTCTGCCCCGTCCCCCTCAGGGTTTCTGCTGCTGCTCGCCCCATCTCTCAGGTGGTCTCTGCAGGTCTTCAGGGAGGGGAGTAAACAGGTTCCTATGATCCCTCCTTCCCCTCCGAGCTCTCCGGTGGAGCCGGGGGCTCCTCCGCTGTCGGTGACTGAGCTTCTCCCGGACCATCTGTGCACACAGAGAAGACTAAATTAATTAATTACAAATTTAGGGTTTATAGCTATTAGGGGCTGGGCAGTTAATCGGATTTTGATCTTGATTACGATTTGGGTTTTCAGCGATCATAAAAACATAATGATCGAGGTTTGCAGTTTACGTCCATGATGCAAAAAACGCGGACGGAATCCAGTGTAAAATGCGGAATCTCTCAGAGGTCGCTTATTTGGGCGAGTTTCTGAGGTATTTTGACCGCTGCTGCTCCTATTACCTTCCCTTACCTGGTAACAGGCACACGGGTGGGCTCTGACTGAGCTCCCCTCCCGACACAGGAGGAGGGGGAGAAAGAAAGAAAAGAAAAAAAAAACGCGACTTGTGCGGTGAACAAGGGTAAAGTTTAGGACAGAACAAAACCCCAGCTGTTATTTATTTATCTGTAGAAAAACTTTCCTGTAAGTTTTGTCATCGCTGTGAAGACCACTTCCTGTCTGAGTCACAGAKAGAGGGGCAGGTCAGAGACACGCTGAAAACTCCTCCACACTCAGAAGTGAGGTGGAAGTCCGGGTGGGAGGTTATACAAGATTTAGTTGTTGTGTGCAGAATCACATATTCCTTTAGTAAAAATGAAAAAGCTTTGTCCATTTTTRYATAAAGCACTGTAAACAGTGCGTGTGTCAACTTACATTAAGTAAATGAGCTTAGATCCTATTCAGTTGCTGTTTGTAGGTTTTATATGGGGTAAGACAACTGTCAGAATCATTGTATGTGTAAGAGTCTAAGTTTGTACATGTAAGTCTATAAACGTACATGAC